CCCCACCCACCCCCAGCACAGACTGTTCGCCTCCCTACCCTTTGGCCGGAGGTTCAGAAGTATGAAATGCAGGACCTCCAGACTAAAAAACTCTTTCTTGCCCTCTGCCATCAGACTCCTAAACAGCTGAGGAGTTTATTACCGGGCAATACATGATGTACTGTCGACTTGTACTGTTCACATCTAAGTTTGCACATGCATAATTGCACACTGACTCTTGACTGCTGCACATGCTGCTCCCATGTAGCATACATTCTCTTATTATATTCTTATATATTTTTATTATATTGCTGCATTTGCTGCTTAAAGTGCCTTAGATTTTGTGTTACTTATTCATCTACTTTATATTTCATTTGTATTTTGTGGCATTCATTTGGACGGCAAAGTAAGAATTTCATTGTTCAGGTAAGCACGTTTCCTAACTGTGCATATGACAAATAAACACTCTGACTTTGACCTTGACCTACTAGTAAAGGTAAAAATGTAGAGATATTAATCTTTATGAAAATATTTATTTCAACATATATTAAGAACATTCTTACCAAGATTTGTGGTGTAAAGGTCTGGCCCTGTATTGCACATTTCTTTGCATTCTTTTGCGTTTTACATTAAACAACTACTTTGCCAAGCAGCCCATCTTACTCGTCAAAGTTAAGCTTTCACAACAAATGAATCAACAACAAATAATTAATTTAAAGAAAAACGCAATCACTTTTTTTTTGTAACTCATAAGGCCACATAACATACCTATGCTCCAATTATTTCAAAATTATATTGTGCAATAGATGGCTGGTTCACCAGTTTATTAAAAATGCATAAAACCAACAATATTTGGACTGTGTGACAAGGGCATCAAATATTTTATAGGCTTTTCATTAAATGCATAATGAGTAGTCCGACCTTAACATATACTGCTACATGTGTGTTATGCATTCTTACACCGATAAATAGCATTTTAGGAGTAGTCCATATGCATCATATGCATTGATGTACAGAGCTCTAATTTACTTCACATTCAACATCCACATCCGGTTATGCACTGGTTAACAAAACTAGCATCAGCTTTAACACCAACTACAGCCAGGTCTCACCTCTCTCTCAACTGCTTCCCTATCTCAGCCTCCTCTAAAGAATTTTCTTATGTCCATCTACAGGAGACAGTAGTGTCTGAGTCAAAATAAGATCATTGGCGTCATTCAAAAGCTTAAATTAGTCCCCATCACATACTTTAGTCCATTCCTTTTTTTTGTTTTGTGCATAATACATGGACTGCTGTGTGCGCACTGCAGTGCTCCAGCTACAGCATGCATATGTGTGCAACGTGGTACAAACCCTAACCACTGCTGCTTTGACATTAGAACGACAAATCAAATCTTTCCCCATTATTATTAATCCACTACTAAATATAGGAGCCTGTTAAAACTCAAACGTGTGCTTTTTCTGGGGCTCAGCAGATCAATATGAGGCCCTCCCAGGTGACCCACTGGACTCTGGCATCTAGTCCCAAGTTGGATCTCATGGTCTCTTTGGCTCTCATTTGCCCATGTCAGAGACAGCTGCCCTCTGTTACCCATAACTTGTCGACGATATGTGAAGGCTGATGTGTGAAGGCTCGTGTTTGTGTCATTTATTCAGTTTTCACTTTAAATTTAGCACATCTCTACCACATTTGACTTAACCTAGCAAGCCAGCTTGATCCCGAGGCAGACCAGGAACTGTGCTCGTTCACAGCAGTGACTTCATGCAAAAAAAGGAGCTTTTCTGGGCTTTGGAAACATTTTACAAAGACTACAACTCTATGGCTTAAAGAGTGATAACTTTGCAGTTTAGAGGTGTCCTGTCAACAGCTTTACATATGCCTCTTTCAGCAAGGCCTTCTCTGCTGGCCTAAACACTATCAGAAGCACTGATCTACATTTACAACCTAAATTCTAATATTTGTTCCATGAAATTGTATTAATTTATTCCCAACAGTCTATTCTCTTCATTTCGTAACGTTTCTCTTGGCTGCACTGCTTCCAGTAGATGTATGTGGATGTTAGA